TGTTGAAGCAATGAGAACAATTCTTCCTACCGGGTACCCATTTCCTTCAGAGTGGCAAATATAGATTAATGTCTTACCAAACATTGCCAAAGGATAATAGTAACGTGGATTCAAATCCCGTACAATGAGCCTCTTATACTGATGGATTATTCATTAGAATAGGGCGCCTCATGTCTTGCCTGGAGTCGCATTTTTCTCCACATTCTGAAAAAAAGTTGTCTTATATTCAAAATAAAAAATTAATGATACTCCCTTACCCCTCACAAATCATTTTGATAACATTTACGAAAGTGGGGGAAGATCGAAAGGGTATATTCCGCCTGAAAGTAGCCTACAAAGCTCTATATAGATTTTTTCTTTCTCCTAGTATTGATGCTCTGCATGATGCGACAAATGGCTATTTAAAAAACGATTCTTTCAAGTCAACGATAAATTTTCTTTTGATGCAGAACAATTAGGTTAATAGGCCATTTTCGTAATGTAACAACATTTAATGCATAAGTCTTTGTGAAGTGCCTCAATACAAGTTATTTCACTCACCTGATAATAATTATAGTATTTCCATATTCAGAAGGCAAACTACATAGTGTTGCTAGGTAGGTCGAGCCATAATGTTTGTCCAACCTGGCAACAACTAATGTATGCAGTTCGGATTCTGTTTATTGAAATACTATTATTCTTATCAGGTGAATAAAATAGTTTGTATCGAGGCACTTCACAAAGACTTATGCATTAAATTTGGTTACATTACGAAAATGGCCTATTGAATCGAATTGAAATAAAATAGAACTTAAACTTCATCTTAAAACACGCTTCATCTACGGGTTAAAAGATGTTAACTACCAGAGTTTCGGGTCTGGTAGGTCAGTGCATTGTGATCTATACCGGTACCCCCTCTATCAGCACGCTCCCCATTTCAGTGTTATTAATAATGCAGTGCCCGTGAAGTATTCATTGTCGCTGCGAGACTTCTCTACGCGCAGGGGGATCTTGAGCGGGATAGACTTTTGTCGTGACTAGGATATGGTTCAATGGTGATGCCCCGTTCATACTATAACTATGAAGATAAACCGATGTGTGTTTTTACCAGATAAAGATAATGCAATACGACTCTCGTTGTGTTATACTCGTAAAGTAGGTACGTGTTGTACTCTTGTTATACTCGTATTAAACTCCCGATATACTTGTGATAAGACGTGATGCACTCGTGACGTGACAACGACGTGGTTATCGACTATGCCCTGTTTACACCAGATAATGAAAGTCCTGGTTTACCCCGTAGCACACTCATGTGTGAACCGTATTATAATCCTGCTATAGACACTCACTGAAGCGGGGTATACTCGTGGCGTATACAAAGTCAAGATTCAGTGGTAATGTCCCGTTCTCACTACATGTAAATACTTCGATGCGATTCATACCAGATACAGATAACCCGATGTGACTGCGCTGCACACAATCATATGACTTTTGTACATGTACCTTTAATATTTGCTCCTGTTATATTCCTATTGTAACTAGTTACATACGTGTTATACTTATGTTATGCTCATGTACATAGCGTCATGGTCACAACGGCCCTCTTCATATAATTATTAAAGGTCGTCTGTACTAGTTTGGCTAGGAGGGATTAGACCACACAGGAAGGTCACTGGCGGGTTGCTATCTCCTCAACTCAGCTCTCAATTAACATAAGAAAAAGAGGATCATGGGGGACCAATGGTCACCGATTAGGCATTGTTTTCTATATAGAGGGAGCAAGTATAGCTACGAGTAGTACAGAGGGGCTTTAAGATAACCCGTTGTGAGTCTGCAGCAAACACGTGTAACACAGCGTCCATACAAGATGAAGATAATCCGTTGTGACTCCGCAGCTAAATTGGGTTTTATTGGTTTACACTATAAGCCTACCAACGTTAGAGTCCCCCAGGTGATACTCTGTTCACATCTAGTGAAGATAGTAAGCAAACAAAGAAAAATCAAACACCCACGAATCAAATCAATAAAAACTAGCACAGAGTACAAACAGCAACATCACATGAGTTGTCATGAAATATTATGATTATAGGAATACATGTAATATAAAAATGCCATGGTTTCCAAGGAGTTACCCCTTTCATAATATCTAACAGAGATAGCCCGATTTGACTCTGCAGCAAACCTTGGTTCTATCGAGTTATACGTGTGACGTCACAATGCGAGAGGTCAATGGTGTTACCCCGTTCACATCAAAGGAAAGTAACCTTAAATAACTCCACATTAGATCCGTATACAAACCGGGTACCCTGGTGATGTTACAAGGGCAAAGTTGCATAACGGTACCCTATTTACACGAGATAAAAATAACCTTGCGGTACTCCCCAAGGAAAACCCAGATGCTAGCGACCTTTTTTTCTATTTGACTTTATAATTCCTGGATTTGGTTTCTGTTGTTGTCCCTGTTATTGAAGAAAACACCACAACTATACCTTACCCATCTGGCTATGCATTTTCCAACCAAAACATTTAATTCTTTTGAATATCAAAAATGTATTGCTATTCATGTATTGTATAAGTTTAATATATCATCTTATTGCAAATATGGTAATACAATTCGAATTTCTGTATATGTACCAAGCAATTTGCCAAGGTCGTTGGAAACCAAAAACAAAAGAATTCCAATTTTACTACCATGCATAATGTTTTACGTGTAATTTTACTTTGTCACTGATGTATACCTTGTAAAAGAAACTGCAATTCGGCTCTCGGGCCGCGAATGTTTTTTAATGAAATAAACCATTTAAAATAAATAAATAAATAAATTTTAAGAAGTCTGATCTGATAGAAACGCTTAAAGTTCTTTCGATGAACAGTAATACATACTACAAATTTCCTTCACATCTTCACATAAGCAGCACCTAACCTCCCGCCTTCCCAACGGGATATTAAGCTCCTACTTTAACATCAAATTATTCTGTCTGTATGTATTTTTTTAACAGAGATATTGTATCCGTCAGATAGATTATTTACGTCTGGGCCGAGACGGACCTTTCACGTCACCATCCGAAAGACGTGTCTCGGTTTTGAACCCATGGCCCTGTTTCATAAAACTTGATAACAATCAATAACAAGATACTGTTACAAGCTACTGAAATCCTGGCATCTGATTGGCTGAGAGCAAATTTGTCATAGAAATTTAGCAGCTGTTATAGGTAACAAGTTTTATGAAATTTGCCCCTGGGTCCGATCTGAGTCAGTTTGTAGACGACAAAAGAGAGCAGACCGTACCACGGACATTACCGCTAGACCAACTCACATTTCCCTTATTTATCTCTCTTCTACTATCGTGTTGGTACAGGCCATACAGCGCTTGTTCTGGTTAGGGTTTTATGAACGTAGTTGTGCTAATAATGGCTCATTACCATTATGTATCATAATTATTTCCTCCAACTGTAACCGCTATTCAAACCTTAATGTTAACTTTAACTTAATACTTCAGACCATAGTACCCTCTTTAAGTCTCATGTAATGTTAATCTTTTCTTTGAATCAAGTTTCATTCCGGTACCCGAAGTCGTAAATAGGAAATGGCAATTCATGATTACTTGAAAAATGTCACCAATCATAATCAGAAGATTGTATTTGCCTATTATAGGTCAACGACGAAACCAGTCCTTTAGGACAGTGTTAAAGCAGGGGTAGTAATATAATGATTGCAGGACTCTCCAGGAGATAAGTGTCAATACTAATAAGGCTAATATAGGTAAACAAGACATGTTATTTTGATGATTATTATTAATATAATGATTGTTATTATCATTATTGATATCATTGTTATTGTTGTTATCATTATCATCATTGTTATCACCATAACCAACATCATTATTGAACCACGATTGCTAAGGCTTAATAAAGGGGTATTGGAATGGAAGCTTCGGAAGCTGTAATACACAGAGGAATATAGAACTGTATCAGTTCCCTTGCCCCCATTGGCAAATTAAAAATTTACAATTTGTACTAATTGGTTATGCACTTGGGATTTCCATGCGCTTAAAAGCTATTACCCCTGAAGAAAAAGCCCGAATACGTCTCTGAGGACACCCCTCCTTCATTCTCTCAACCTCTCAAAAACAAAAGGAAACGAATATAGCGAACAAACATCTAAATGAAAAGAATTAAAGAGTTGTTAATTTTTAATGTTGTTATGACCTGTTTGTGAACCAATTTTTTTTGTTAAACCAGCTGCATAAAAATCATGATCTTCTGCCTTCGTGTTAAAGGGAAAGTCCACCCCAAAATAAGTTTGTTTCGATAGAGGCAGAATAATAAGAAAATCAGGTGAGTAAAAGTTTGAGCAAATTCTGAATGAAAATAAGAAAGTTATGAATTATTGAAGTTGTGATCAATCAAATACAAATTGGCAACTCTGTGACTTATTATACGAGCTCTCCTTCATTTGCTTTGTGCATAATATTCCATAAAATCAAGTTTTCTTCGTTATTGATGACGGAATATATATTTGTTCCTTGCAGGGGGAGTATAGAAACATATTTGCAATTATTATATTTAGGGTGCATGTATGGTTGAAATTTTTCTTGAGGGAAAATGAAAATTTTAGATTTTTTTTAGTACTGAGCAAATGGAAGTTGAGCTCGCATGATACGTCATAGAATTGCCAATTTGTGTTTGATTGATCACAACTTCAAAAATCCTAACTTCCTTATTTTTAATCGGAATTTGCTCAAACTTTCACTGACTTGTTTCTCTCATTTTTCTACTCCTATTAAAACTAACTTAATTTCAGGGTGGACTTCCCCTTTAACAGAGCTGTCGCATAATTGTGTTAATTACGACCCGGTTCATAAGACCTTTGACTTTGACATGGGAAGTAATTGAAGAGGTAGTATATAAACTGTACATCTTAGTCTAGAGAGGGCGTAGAAAGCATTTTCTCTTTATCCTACACCCGTGCCCTTCATATTTCTAATACGCCATCAGAAAGAAAATTGTCAAATGCATGTCCACACGTTTTCCCATACATGTTGCAGTTCTGTGTGCACTGTAGCTCGTAACAGCGGCGGCGTACAGGGTATGAATGCCAATCCGCTTCTGGCGCGACAAACTTTCCCCGTGCGGCCGCATCAACAGTGTACGCACGTTCGTCACTACAGGAACTAGCAGACGACATCGCTACGCAAGGCGGGAAAATTTTCAGAGGAACAAAACCATTTTGTAAGCAGCGGTGTATGAGGAGAAAACATAATTATTTCATGTATCGCTTGCACTTGAATCAACGTATTTGATGAAGGAAGAATTTTCAGTTTTTCTGTCGGCTTGTGATTACCCTTTTTTGGAGGCAGACCTTTTTTTTGGAGGCGAAACAAATTTGGAGGATTTCACAAAACAATAGTCCTATCGTTACTTTCAAGTAAGTACTTTTTTAACACTGTTTTGTTCTTTTGATTAACATAAAGATTGATATGCTTTTAACGATTGTTGTATATTGAATGAATGGTGGTGGTTATCTTATCTGACTGCTAAGAAAGCAGAAATGCTTGTAAGTAAGCGAACAGACGACCGACGGCTTCAGGTCCTCTCCGAGGGATCTGGTAATGAGGATTAATGCCTTACCAAAGGGCACTAGCGCATCGCCTTGGTTTCGAACCCGAGTCACCGGATTACGAGACCACTGCTCTACCGACTGAGTTATCGCGCCTACTCTTTATACTTTCAACTCACTTAATTATCTTACTCTTCTCCTCATTGCAATGCTCAACTTAAATAAACCACCTTCGGTTCTTCTGTAGGAAGTTTATATTGCATTTAGTACAATATTGAAGGTCAAAATGTGAAAGAAAAATCGATTTAACCTTAGTACTTTTTCTGTTAATCCTAACGATGTCTAGTTATTTTTCTGATTTTATAATGATATAGAGGAACTACCAATTACAGACTTTTTATTAGAATTTAAAGATTAGTATCTTAAGAATAATTAATTCCTGCTATTTATAATTATGAAATATATCAACGCCAAATATTACTTATGAAACCGATAAAGCATAACGCAAGATAGATAACTTAGCTGAGTGAATATTTGTTGCGGATTTATCCAAATTCAAAATTGCTGTTATGAAAATCACTTACGATTAATTACTGTGAAGCTCAAAGACTGTTAATCATGAAACTAAATTAGGGAGTAATGTCTCGAGGAAAAACCATCTGCGATAATGCAATTTGTCTTTCATTTTGACTTACTTTGTTAGCAAACGAAGTGCTAAATAGCCTAGTCTGGATTTTCTTAGTGGAAATCTTGTTTTAAACGAATGACTTAAGGAAGTGTGCTGAGCATATCTCATTCTCCTCTATTCTTTTCTTTCCTTCCTTCATTACGACAAATAGGTATTTGTTTGTACATGCGCTATATATATATATTGTATATGCGCTAGTGTGGTAATATATTATTAGTATTTTGAAATGTTCGTGATTCTTTTTGGTTGATTACAAATACTGAATATTTTGTATACCTCGCCAAAAGCTTTCCACCAGAGAGAAAAAATAGGGGCTATTAAATGGAGATGGATGGAAAGAGCTTGGTAGCCCATGATCAATCATTTTAATACCTAGGGGCATTTGTCGAATAGATGTTTCTACATATTTTGACGACTAAGAACATGATGGCTGTAGGTATTTTTTCGTATAATTATATTTGACAAAAGATACTGGGTTTTCGCCTTTTATATAATGCATACAAATATTAACATATATTCATGTTATACATATCCGTTTGTACGATGCAATCGTTTGTTTAATTTTGGTTGAAACCCAGACAGAAATATGGGGAAGAGTGGGACAGATAGAGAGAAGGAGATGAGAAACGAGAGAGAAGAAGAGTGAGAGAGAGAGAGAGAGAGAGAGAGAGGGGAGAGAGAGAGAGAGAGAGAGAGAGGGGGGAGAGAGAGAGAGAGGGGGGGGGGGGGGAGAGAAGGTGGAGAGTAAACACTGGGAGGAGGAGAATAGTAGGAAGAAGAAATACAATAAGAAAAAGAACAAGAAGAACAAGAACGAGAGGATGAAGAAAAAGAAGAAGAAAGATGATGACGGAAAAGAGGAGAAAACGATGAAAATAAGGATTGAATTAGAAGAAGAACAAGAAAATTAAAAGTATGAAATTAGAAGTAGAAGAAGTGTCGATTTGAAGAAAAGAATAGGAAAAGAGGGTCGGTAATATGAAAAAAAGGTGTTTTAATAGAAGGATGTTTGGGTTTATAATGTCATCCATGTAGTTGCTCATGACGCCATTTTGAATACGTACTTAGTGATATAACTGTATGCATTCATTTTACCATAACTTCTTTTCTCATTCTTTCATTTCAGGTCTTCATCAGAAATTTAAGGATTTCTTTCTCTCTCTCATCCTACCCGGGAACGATCAAAATGAATGTTTGGGTCTTTGACTGGGTATATCTGTGCCTGTGTCTCATCATATATGAGACGGTGGGAGGTACGTATATAAACAATATAATAACAATCTCATCTACATGATCAAGTAATGACGTACTTGCAATTCTAAGCAAAACTGAACATGAACCCTGAAACAGGTAACATTATGAAACATGAACTCAGACCACATCCGGTCACACGATATTGGTGTCAAATGAAATGTCAACATCCAATGTTTATTACTTAATATAATACACATTTACCGTACCCAATTCTGAGTAAAATGGTTGACAGGAAACTTCACTGTTGTGTCATTTTATATCATGTACACTCTAAAAACTGAAAAGTTAAATGACCATTTGAAAAGGCCGAGGAATGACCACGTTTTTCTTCTACAAATGGTGGATTAAAACTTTGAATATGCTGGATCTAACAATATAAATGTTAAGCATGCTTAAATTGATAGTCTGATATTTTTGAGAAATTGGTAATTCCTCGGCCCTTTTAGATGGTGATTTAACATCATAGTTCTTAGAGTGTACCATATATTTTGAAGATATTGATTAACAAGTCAATAATATTCTAATTTTGAATTTGAAAATGCTCTATAGATGGTGATTTAATTTTTAAGATATTTATTAACATGTCAATAATATTCTGATTTTTAATTTGAAAATTTGAACCGTAATTTTTTGGAGACTTTGGCGTTGCCCTCCATCATCAGCCCCTACATTATACATCACCGCAAGACCAGTATTCATAAAATGAGATTGATATACATCCGGGTATACATCTGGGCCTCGTCTTATAGACAATTGCGATTGATCCAAATCAATCGCAAGTCCTCCAATCAATCGCGTCTTCTATCGCTTATGTACATAGTTACGATTGATATCGATCGCAAATAAGTTGCGATAGATATCAACTCTTAAAGACAGGGCCCTGGGTTTAACCGGGTTTAAACCCCGTCTTAAAGAGTCGGGTTAGTCCACTAATCCAATCTCTTAAAGTCTGAGTGCAGATGAGTGGAATCCACTCTTTTAGCAGTCGATTTTTTTTTGGGGGGGTTGTGAATTTTTCATTTATGATAACTCCGACTTAGTGTGGGTTTGGTTTGTCCACTGCTCTCTATGGAGATGAGTAGAATCCACTCTTTAAGGGGTCGAAGTTCATTTCCGAGTTAAATCTACTCCATCGTAATATTGAAATCCACTCGTAAGGTGGTGGTGTAAATTACTTTGTCAAGAGTGGATTTCCTCTCCAAAAGGAAGTCGGCCATTAACCCATGAAAGAGACGTTCAAAATGTCTGATAGTATAGGGCTTTAAAAAAAATCGATAGTTATACGAGTCTTGCTCCTGCGAAAATAATTGCTCAGTATACACTCAAACTGAATTCCTAACTTTAACCCTGGACCTAGCACTAAACCCAACCCTAATCCTAAACCTAATCCCAACCTAAGAACCTAATGCAACCCTAACCCTAAACCTTACTCCACAAAGCCAGAACTATTGTCGCAGGAGCAATTTAGGGTCACCGTTTCGGTATCTTGTACCTGAGTTGTTGTTGAAATAAAAATCCGAAATAATCTATTTAATTTATGAAGTTCAAAAGGGCGTGGTCCTTAATATATGGCCTCAATTCATAAGGTAATTTTTCGTACTTGTATGCTGTTGCGGTGCAGTTAATACTAACAAATAGCTGTCATTGTCTTAACTTTTAGTGTTTAGCAATCGGAGCACTGCGACAATAACCGATTGTTACAATAACAATGTTCTGATGGGACACCCATCACATTCTCCCCTGCTACAATGTATGTACATTGTTTTCAAATTAGATGATACATCAGGTCGAATAATCAGCTCGTTACCGCCGCCATCATTTCGCATCAATATCCCGCACATGTATTTCAACCGATGAAATATTCAGCGAAATGTGTCGTTACATATATCTTCATTTCTGACCCATCTATTCCCTTGTACAGTGTGAGGCAATAAAAAGGGAAACGGTATCCTAGCCCCAATATCTTAGAAGCCTTATTGTTTAAAAAAGATAATGCGATTATGATAGCTGATGATGTCATCTTTAATTTTGTACGGTTGATCTTTAAAATGCTATTGTGGATAACTGAGCACTGCCACTTTCAGACTGCATGCCAAATCGCCTTTGTCTAAGTTTGGAATGAATGGCGTTCAGGAGTTACTCTTAACATGTACGATTGCATTTATAATGGTAGGGAGACTGTTCGATTAAATCATTCATTTCATTTTTTTGAAATACTGTGGCAGAGGCAGGATGATTAATACTGTGCACCTTTCCTGGGCCAGATTTTTTATTGATCAAGGATACAAATTCTAGTAAACAATTTATGCTATAATGTGGATATATTTGAATTAATCTTTACGTGCAATGATTTTCTGGGTTGAAACTGGGTTTCTGTTTTGTGTGACTCACACTGTACACGCGGACGCAAGATCGGCCTACCCGTTACTCCGGAGTAGCTTACTGCAACTGTAGATGTTCCAGGGATCCAGAAGGATTATGTATATGAGATCGTACGAATTAAATGTCTGCCTATAAGCCTCAAAGAAAGTAGTTTTAAAGATTAGGTTGGGTTCTGGTCATGCGATTGCATTGTGAAAGAAACGGTGTGAAATCGATCAGAAAAAGTTGATCATCTAGCATGTATGAATTGGTGTATACTAAAAGGTTCTGGAGTCATTAAAATAATAAGAAATTTTGCCCAGTCTTGGTAAAGTAACAAGCACTGTACACAAAAAGATGTATATGGGACTACACAAACATGTGGCATAACAATCGGGCATGATTTTAAAGATGTTACTTGTCATATTAAGAATGTGAAGGCATTTGAAGAGTCATACTTTTCAGGGATCATTTTTTTCTCTGATGTTCTCCCACACTTACACAATAAAAATGATAACGCTCACAAATTATTTTTCACCCCCCCCCCCCCAGAACTCAACCTTCTCTTTAAATCAAACGTGGATAATACAATGCTGAAGGATAGCCATTATCATTCAGATACACTAGATTGTATTGAAAAAGAATGAATGCTAAGTGTGAAGTACAGATTGGGCAATTGTTTCAAGTTTAGTCCGATACTGACTTATGGAATTTATCTTCGGTTTTAGTTGCCAACTGAAAGCCAGGAAAATTAAGGAAATGCAGATTGAGTTTAATTTTAATTTTGGGTTCAGTTTCATATTTTAAAAGTAAGACTTTTGGTATGAGAATCACATGGGTTACAATTTCTTCTTCTGATTAATGTTCTTTTAGAATCTTGATACAAAAATTATGTTATATATTAGTGAGTATGTAATTGCTCGATAGAGCCAACATTCAAAAAGGCTGATCAAAGATTGCCCCTTTCAGGATATCACAATTTCAGAACACTTCCGTAGTTATCAAAATTTAATCATCGAATCAGAATTCAGTATTGGTGTTTATTTTGAAGTAATTAATAACTCCCTTTTAATGAAGAAGAAAACTTAATACACATAACGTATACACACGCACGCACGCACACCCATAGTACGCACACACGAACACACAGCAGTCCATATAGAGGCAACAACATATTTCTACCATAGGAAGAAAAAGGAATTTCTGCCAATCCAAGCTATTTTGTCCATACGTTACCGACTACATCTACGGCTCCTATCTTTAATTATTATCTCGAGTTCATAGCCATATACTAGAGCTTTGATGAGATCAAATATAAAGGAAAGACAATTGTGATGTCAAACAATGTTCGGTTTAAATTATTCTTCAAATTCAAATTCAAATTCAAATTTAAAATTATTGGTCCGAAAGGATATTTGTTGCGTTTACATGCATTCGTAACATTTGAGACCGCTAAAGACAGTCTACCTTTGACTTCCTCGTTTCTCTTGTCCTTCACCTTACTAAATATTATAATAGTCATAGGCCTTCTGGTTGAACAAGCCAATATACGTCACCAACTGCATGCACTTAGCTTTAAATATGACTAAAGCGCCATCAAATATTTTCATTGTAAGCAACGGAATGCCGTTTCCTGGATAACAGATCACAATTTACCGACCACCTAATCAATAAATCATCATATTTGTAGAATATCGTCTTTTTAACCACTACACTGCAAATTCGATTTGTAACGACTTTACACAGCAGTTGAGTGGTTCACTCCTTACACAGGGGTTGTGTTAGGTGGTGTAAACAAATTACACAAGGGCTTAATTTGACACGACTTAACACAACCCCTGTGTAAGGAATGAACCCACCCAACTGTTGTGTGGAGTCGTTACGCAACGAATTTGCAGTGTAGTAAACGTATTCGAGTAACATTGTATAAACATGTTGTATACTGCTGATGGATCAGTATACAGGTTTGAAATTGAAACACATGACGATATATTTATACAGGAAGAGCTATGGGCATGTGAGACTTTGAAATAAGATAACTCTACTTAGAAAGACTACTTAACCCTTTAATGATATACCGGATTTTGTATACCAAATTAGAAATCCAAATCAAATCAAATTCAAGAATTTATAAAGCGCCAAAATCTAGTTGTCTAATCAAAGGCGCTGATGAGACTGAAAAACTACCAAAAATGTCTGGTCATGATTGTAACTGAGAAAGACAAAACAGCAGTGACTAATTGTAAGCAATCTGAAATAGCTATGTGTTTAGTTGAGTTCTGAAAGTGGATAAATTGAAAGAAAATTAATCATAACACTTTCATCATATTTTGCATTTCCATGGATTTTGCCGTGAAAATAAAAGCTTTTCGTAGCAAAAACTAATGTGTTCGACGCCCGAAACTATGGTAATAAGAATTGCGTTTGGCCGTACGCCAAAGATGCTTGTCTTTGTGTTTGTGAATAAAACAATTAATAGAGAATTCCAAGGCTGGCTATAGTCATGAATATTTGGTATTTGTTTAAAGCATCTTTTAGGACTCGCTGTAGATATACATTAAGCAAGTATCATACATGCCCGACGTGCAAATTTACATATTATTCATAATCACGTTGGCAATGTGCCAAAAAAATGGTA